TTGGCTAGTGTTAAGAAATTTTCTCTAATAACAAATATTTGTTATTAAAAATGAAGAAAATTTAAAAAATGAAAAAAACTACTGTTCTCACAAAGAACTGTCATTAAATTGTAAGCGAATTTATATTATTTATATAAAATAATATTTAAAATTTTTTCAATATAATTTTGAAATACAAAATTTTATATAAATATATCATCACTTTCATAAGTATTTCATTAGCCTCAAACTAAACATCAATATATATTTTCACAATTTAATGAATATTTTTGTAACACTGACAGTTTTCAATATAAATTTTAAATTTTAAACAAATGATTTGTTTATTACATGTTATTCAAATTGATTCAACAGACTATCAAACCATTTCCGTGTAAAAAGTTATTAAAAGTTTTACTAAAATATTCAGATCAGATCACACGTTGTTGATTTCCCATTTATCAATCATCGGTGTTTGTATTGCCTGTTGCTGTTGCTGTCGGTGAAGGTGTTAGTATGAAAATGAAATTGATTTGTATTTATCATTATCAAGTTTATATTACAAAAAACAAAAGACAAACAAAGCTTTATTATATATTAGTTTGTTACGTGGATTAATTTAATATTATTATGTTTTCACTCGTAATAAATTTGTTTATATATTTTTTTTCTACCTTTAACATAGTTAATAATCCCTTTGATTAAATGATGGAAAATTTTTAAATTGAAACAGATATGCAAATCAGTATACACTGCAAATATGTAAACTTACAAAAAAGAAGGATTTTACAAAGTGAAGTGCATAAGCAATGTATTAATTAAATTAAATTGAAGAGAATTTTTACATGAATGTAAAAATGGCATTGGTATTTTTAATTTCATTCGTTTAGATTTCGCATTTTAAAAAAAAATTTCGAAAGTACTATTTCAAAAAGGAAAACGTATTTTTCATTCAATCAAATGTTTCTTTATTCAATATTTTAGAAAATTCAAGAACTATAATTTGATGAACGAAAATGTATCAAAATTCCCTTTCATTAGATTCTCATTCACTTAGTCCCTATATATTAAATTTTATTTTTCTATGTTCAATATCGTAAAAAGTCAAAAAGTATCACATGAAAAATGAAAAAGTACAAAATCCTCTCTCTAAATAAATTCTCATTTAAAAAAGATCGTAATCATGTTTTCCGGTTCCCCATTATAGAGAATCCAAAAAAGGTACTATTTGATAAATGGAAAAATGAAAAAGGCACCAATTACAATTCTTATACATTCAGGACCATATATGTTCAAATTTATGTTTCTAGTTTGAATATTTTTGAAAATTCAAAAAGTACCATTAGAGAGATAAAAAGTACTAAAAAGTTCTATCCTAAAGAATCTTATTCCATAAGGATCGTCTATGTTTAATAATAATGATTACCATTTTCCCCATTTCGCCTAGGAATACACTTTTTAGAAAATTAAGCTTAAGAAGTATTCCGCGTTTAAGTCTATATATCACAGATCGGACTAAAGCGATTCAAATCTGCATTCATTTGTTCCAGAAAAATTGTGGTTTTAAAAAGTACCAAACAATTTATCCAAATTTAGTCCTATATAGACCTTAATACCCGAATTCCAAAATAATATTACTATTTTTCAAATTTTGTAAAAATTAGCTCAAATTGTATAAATAAAATTTCCCATTTTCACCTTTTTGACACTTTTTCCCCAGTGAAATGGCAAATATTTTGTTTCAATAAATATTACAGAATTAGTACATAATTTAATAGGTATACGTCAATAAGTCGAAAATGTTTTCTTATTGTGCTAAAAAAAGTACCAAAAATTTTCACCCCTCAAAAGTACGAATTTCAAAAATGTACCAAACACCAATCTGTTCATTTTAAGAGTAGATGTAGGTGCATTTAAAATTTTTCCTGTATCACTAATATTGTGTATGATAATTAAGAAAATCAGTTTTACCCGTTTTTTCCTTTTTTACCCCTAAATGTACAAATTTCCAAAAATAAGATTAACGTTCGTATAAAAGTTTATTTTCTCTTTTAAGCCAGAAATGATCGTTTAAGTAACTTTTAGAAGGGGACCTCGTATTTTTAAGGAAGTAATGAGCGTTAAAGTATTTTTCTGAAGGGGACCTTATATGGGGGTATGTTCAATTATGAACGATCCACATAAACTTTGGTAGAGAGATTTTGGCAGTAGTGAGCCCTAAAGTCATTTTCGGAAGGTGATCTTGTATGGGCGATAGGGTCAATAATGGACCGATCTTTATTAAATTTGGAAGAGAGATTTTGGCTCGTATATAACTTATGAGTGTCGAATTTTATAACTTTACGCATATTTTTCAGCCAGTAATGAGCTTTAAAGTAATTTTCTGAAGGGGACCTTATATGGGTTAGGATCAATTATGGACCGATTCACATAAAATTTGTTAAAAAGATTTTGACTCGGGAGGAACTTACTTATATAAAACTTTATCGTTATACTCGTACTTTTTAGCCAGTAAAGAGCGTTAAAGTAATTTTCAGAAGGGGACCTTATATGAGGGGTAGGGTAATTTATAGGACGATCCTCAAAAAAAAAAAAAAAAAAAAATAGTACGAAGATTTTGGCTCGATATGTGTGTCGAATTTCATCACTTTAAGTGTATTTTTAAGCCAGTAATGAGCGTTATAGTCATTTTTTGAAGGAGACCTTATATGGGGGGTAGGCTCAATTATGGACCGATCATCATAGAATTTGGTAGAGAGATTTTGGATCATATAAAACTTATTTATAACGAATTTCATTGCTATACTCGTACTTTTCAAACAGTTATGACCGTTAAAGCTATTTTTCGGGAGTCCACATGTATGGGGGCTATCTGAAAATGTGGACCGATATTGCCCATTTTCAATACCAATCCTTATCAATAGAGAAAATTTGTGCAAAATTTCAACTGTCTAGCTTCTTCCATGTTTACCCCAAAATATTGGTGTAAACACGATGATTTCAACAGACAGACGGACATGGCTAGATCGTCTTAGAATTTAATAACAACCCAGAATATATTATACTTTTGTGGGTCTATGACCAATATTTCTATATGTTATAAACGGAATGACAAAAACAATATACCCCCATCTCTTTTGATGGTGGGTATAAAAACTCAAAAAATGTCCTTTTCATTCATTCAAAAGAGACAAACATTTTAAGAAATAGTAATTTAGAATGAACTAAGTTTTCATTTTATTTCGGCAACATTAGCAACATCCATTTTGGGGCAGCCTTATTAATTTATTTACATTTCCCAACTTTATGATTTCTGAAAAAAATGTTTGTTATTTGAAATGAAAGATTAATGTTAAATAAGGTATTTACCAATATTTTAGTGTAAACATTTTAATTCTGAAAATTTGGTTTTTTACAGAAAATTAAACAATTAAACATGTATTTGTTAGTTAAAAAAAACTTTTATCAAAGCCACTATTATTATTAAAATACATACATATGTAGTATGTAAATTTTGGTTTCTACTTAAAACCCCAGCAAAAACTTACATGGAAAAGTTATAACGCAAAATGGCGTTGGTGACTTATGTGTAAATCAGTTTTTGCTGGGATATCTGCAAATTTTTTATAATTTGTTTTTCATAGAATATAAATAAAAAAATTTTTTTCAGAAATGTTGGGTTTGTTCGGCTTGAGGTCTTTTCATTAAATAAATATTAAAAATTAAAAACTCTTTTTTGTTCTTAGTTTAATTAATATTTATTGTGGTTTCCAATATTTCGACCAACTTCGTTGGTCATCTTCAGGGAAAGTTCTACAAATAATACATAAAGTACAATAACAAATAATAACAAAACAAATATAATATAAACAATAACAAATAATTTCCTTACATTTAATTTTAATGCAGTGTCGTCTGTTGTTTATGTTTTGATCTTCTATGACTGACTGTTTTGATTTTATTCTTTTGTTTATTGTTTCTGTATTTATTTATTGTATGTCGATAAATGTGAGCGCAGTTGTCAGTATCTGTTTTGTAATTTATTCTCTTTTCTGTTGGTGTATTTATAATGTGGAGCATCTCTTGTAAGTAACGTTTTGTGTGATTGTTCTCTCCAGCTAATATTCTCACTTTTTCAAAGTCTGGTTGGTGTCCAGTTATTGCACAGTGGGCAGCGAGGGCTGTTTTTTGATTTAATGGTTTGTCAAGTGTTCTTAAATCTGATTTGTGCGATGATAATCTTGTCCTCAGTTTTGTTTTCGTTGTACCAACATATACCTTTTGGCATATGTTGGTTTCGTCACCATTACATTTAATTTCATACACTAGATTGGATTTATCTAGTTTATCTAATTTGGACTTCATGTTATTAAATAATTTATATGTTGTATTATTCGTCTTCATTGCCAGTGTATATTTTTCTTTGTCATATATGTCCGAATGTTTTATTCTCTCGGATAGTCCTGAGATATATTCCACTGATTGGTATATTTTCCTCGATGGTTCGCTCTTTTCCCTATTCTCCTTATTTAAAACGTTGTCTATCAAATGGTTTATCGTCTTGTATGGGAAGTCGTTTTTGAGTAAAATATTCTTAATTTTACTAAGGTTATTCTTATGAAATTCCGTGTTGCTGGTGTCCAATACTCTTGTGATGAAATTTGTCGTCCACATATTTCGTCATTAATCTTGGTTTGTTTTCCAATTGATCAAGGGTTGTTTCCAATAGTTCCTCCATGACTATATCGGCAATTATTGGGGAAATTGGGGATCCCATAGGCATGCCCTTGTTTTGTTCATAAAAGTTGTCCTTAAACTTAAAATATCTGCAATCTTTTATACAAAACGTCAATATATCCATAAATAATTCTCTAGGTATTTTCGTATGTTCTTCTAACATATGCCATTTTCTGTCTATAGTCTTGATTGCCAGGTTTATTGGAATACTGGGAAATAAAGAGACTACGTCGAATGATACCAGTATCTCATCATCCTCTATGCGTGTGTTGTCAATTCTATTCTTAAATTCCCTTGCGTCTCTTACGTTATAAATAGAATCATTTGTCAATTTTCTTAAAATGTCAATTATATATTTACTCAGATTGTATGAAGGTGAGTTGATCGATGAGCAGATAGGACGTAATGGCATATCCTTCTTATGGATCTTTGGGAGACCATATATCCTTGGGGCTATAGCAATCCTTGTTGTCAATTTGTTTTTGTCAAGTAAATTTATAACATTAAGCTTGTATAATTTTTCCACAAGGATGTTGTTCTTATTCTGAAGACTAAGTGTAGGATCTTTTTTAAGGCGTCTATATGTACACATGTCCTTGATGATATCCATCATCTTTGTATTATAATCGTCTTTAGTCATTGCCACCGTCTTATTACCCTTATCTGAGTTCAATATAATTATATCATTATTTGCCTCCAAATATTTTTCACATTGAACCACTGTATTCAATATCAGTTTATCCCTTGCGTTCATTTTCGATTTTCTCATGTGGTCATCAATTAATGTAACAAATTTTGCTCTCGATATCTCTTGCTGTTCTTTATCCTCAATCGTCTGTATGCATTGTTCGCCATCGGTGATGCATTTGAATAATGGGAATGTTTCTCTCGTATTGGGCAAAGCAAACTTGGAACCAAGTGACAGTAGCCATTGAATATTTGTTGGTATAATTTTCTCTGTTCTATTCACAAACCAATCTTTGTTATGCTTCATATCAAGTTTAGCTGTTCCATTTTCCCTTAAGGTTTCAAACTTTTCAATAAGTCTCTTGTCATTATCGTCCTTAACGTTATTATAAATTGTCTCTTCACTTAACATAAATAGCTCACAGTCATGTTCTTCCACCCTATTATCTATAATTCCTCTTAGTTTTGTGATTCTACTTTCATTGTCATGAATCTGTTTGTGTTTTTGTTGTATTAATAATCTTAAAATAATATTATGAAAATTATATATATGTCTGTGTAGGGTTTTGTCCAAACATTCGGTTAAGTTACCATTTTCCATAAAAATTCTGTTAATGTTAACCGTGGCCTTGGCGATGAATCCAGGTATTAGTCCATTTTCTCTGCATTTTATAAGGAAAGTTGTTGATGATCTCAAGTTGGCCAATTGTTTATTATGTTTTGAAAAAGTCTTTATCACATTATTTGTATTTTTATCGTATTTGTGTTTGATGTTCCTATACAGCGTCATGTTTAAGCTGTTGACGGCGTGCCTTCCGTGTTGTTTGTTAGTTTATTTGTTCTCTAGACCTTTTGGTTGTTTTCAGAAATGTTGGGTTTGTTCGGCTTGAGGTCTTTTCATTAAATAAATATTAAAAATTAAAAACTCTTTTTTGTTCTTAGTTTAATTAATATTTATTGTGGTTTCCAATATTTCGACCAACTTCGTTGGTCATCTTCAGGGAAAGTTCTACAAATAATACATAAAGTACAATAACAAATAATAACAAAACAAATATAATATAAACAATAACAAATAATTTCCTTACATTTAATTTTAATGCAGTGTCGTCTGTTGTTTATGTTTTGATCTTCTATGACTGACTGTTTTGATTTTATTCTTTTGTTTATTGTTTCTGTATTTATTTATTGTATGTCGATAAATGTGAGCGCAGTTGTCAGTATCTGTTTTGTAATTTATTCTCTTTTCTGTTGGTGTATTTATAATGTGGAGCATCTCTTGTAAGTAACGTTTTGTGTGATTGTTCTCTCCAGCTAATATTCTCACTTTTTCAAAGTCTGGTTGGTGTCCAGTTATTGCACAGTGGGCAGCGAGGGCTGTTTTTTGATTTAATGGTTTGTCAAGTGTTCTTAAATCTGATTTGTGCGATGATAATCTTGTCCTCAGTTTTGTTTTCGTTGTACCAACATATACCTTTTGGCATATGTTGGTTTCGTCACCATTACATTTAATTTCATACACTAGATTGGATTTATCTAGTTTATCTAATTTGGACTTCATGTTATTAAATAATTTATATGTTGTATTATTCGTCTTCATTGCCAGTGTATATTTTTCTTTGTCATATATGTCCGAATGTTTTATTCTCTCGGATAGTCCTGAGATATATTCCACTGATTGGTATATTTTCCTCGATGGTTCGCTCTTTTCCCTATTCTCCTTATTTAAAACGTTGTCTATCAAATGGTTTATCGTCTTGTATGGGAAGTCGTTTTTGAGTAAAATATTCTTAATTTTACTAAGGTTATTCTTATGAAATTCCGTGTTGCTGGTGTCCAATACTCTTGTGATGAAATTTGTCGCAGTATTCATAATTATTCTCTTAGGATGTTTTGAATAGAAATTGATAAGCCTTCCCGACGCCATCGGTTTTTGATACCAGTCCAACTTAATCATATTCCCTCTTCTAATAATTATTGAATCCAAATACGGTAATCTGTTGTCTATTTCCTTCTCCAACGTAAATTGTATACGTCTATGAAAGGCATTTAGGGTTCTCAAAGTAATTTCCACTTGATCTTTTTTCAAAATTCCGAATAGGTCGTCCACATATTTCGTCATTAATCTTGGTTTGTTTTCCAATTGATCAAGGGTTGTTTCCAATAGTTCCTCCATGACTATATCGGCAATTATTGGGGAAATTGGGGATCCCATAGGCATGCCCTTGTTTTGTTCATAAAAGTTGTCCTTAAACTTAAAATATCTGCAATCTTTTATACAAAACGTCAATATATCCATAAATAATTCTCTAGGTATTTTCGTATGTTCTTCTAACATATGCCATTTTCTGTCTATAGTCTTGATTGCCAGGTTTATTGGAATACTGGGAAATAAAGAGACTACGTCGAATGATACCAGTATCTCATCATCCTCTATGCGTGTGTTGTCAATTCTATTCTTAAATTCCCTTGCGTCTCTTACGTTATAAATAGAATCATTTGTCAATTTTCTTAAAATGTCAATTATATATTTACTCAGATTGTATGAAGGTGAGTTGATCGATGAGCAGATAGGACGTAATGGCATATCCTTCTTATGGATCTTTGGGAGACCATATATCCTTGGGGCTATAGCAATCCTTGTTGTCAATTTGTTTTTGTCAAGTAAATTTATAACATTAAGCTTGTATAATTTTTCCACAATGATGATTCTATTTATAACGTAAGAGACGCAAGGGAATTTAAGAATAGAATTGACAACACACGCATAGAGGATGATGAGATACTGGTATCATTCGACGTAGTCTCTTTATTTCCCAGTATTCCAATAAACCTGGCAATCAAGACTATAGACAGAAAATGGCATATGTTAGAAGAACATACGAAAATACCTAGAGAATTATTTATGGATATATTGACGTTTTGTATAAAAGATTGCAGATATTTTAAGTTTAAGGACAACTTTTATGAACAAAACAAGGGCATGCCTATGGGATCCCCAATTTCCCCAATAATTGCCGATATAGTCATGGAGGAACTATTGGAAACAACCCTTGATCAATTGGAAAACAAACCAAGATTAATGACGAAATATGTGGACGACCTATTCGGAATTTTGAAAAAAGATCAAGTGGAAATTACTTTGAGAACCCTAAATGCCTTTCATAGACGTATACAATTTACGTTGGAGAAGGAAATAGACAACAGATTACCGTATTTGGATTCAATAATTATTAGAAGAGGGAATATGATTAAGTTGGACTGGTATCAAAAACCGATGGCGTCGGGAAGGCTTATCAATTTCTATTCAAAACATCCTAAGAGAATAATTATGAATACTGCGACAAATTTCATCACAAGAGTATTGGACACCAGCAACACGGAATTTCATAAGAATAACCTTAGTAAAATTAAGAATATTTTACTCAAAAACGACTTCCCATACAAGACGATAAACCATTTGATAGACAACGTTTTAAATAAGGAGAATAGGGAAAAGAGCGAACCATCGAGGAAAATATACCAATCAGTGGAATATATCTCAGGACTATCCGAGAGAATAAAACATTCGGACATATATGACAAAGAAAAATATACACTGGCAATGAAGACGAATAATACAACATATAAATTATTTAATAACATGAAGTCCAAATTAGATAAACTAGATAAATCCAATCTAGTGTATGAAATTAAATGTAATGGTGACGAAACCAACATATGCCAAAAGGTATATGTTGGTACAACGAAAACAAAACTGAGGACAAGATTATCATCGCACAAATCAGATTTAAGAACACTTGACAAACCATTAAATCAAAAAACAGCCCTCGCTGCCCACTGTGCAATAACTGGACACCAACCAGACTTTGAAAAAGTGAGAATATTAGCTGGAGAGAACAATCACACAAAACGTTACTTACAAGAGATGCTCCACATTATAAATACACCAACAGAAAAGAGAATAAATTACAAAACAGATACTGACAACTGCGCTCACATTTATCGACATACAATAAATAAATACAGAAACAATAAACAAAAGAATAAAATCAAAACAGTCAGTCATAGAAGATCAAAACATAAACAACAGACGACACTGCATTAAAATTAAATGTAAGGAAATTATTTGTTATTGTTTATATTATATTTGTTTTGTTATTATTTGTTATTGTACTTTATGTATTATTTGTAGAACTTTCCCTGAAGATGACCAACGAAGTTGGTCGAAATATTGGAAACCACAATAAATATTAATTAAACTAAGAACAAAAAAGAGTTTTTAATTTTTAATATTTATTTAATGAAAAGACCTCAAGCCGAACAAACCCAACATTTCTGAAAACAACCAAAAGGTCTAGAGAACAAATAAACTAACAAAAAATTTTTGTATTTATAAAAAAATTTGAATAAAATTAATTTTTCGTAGAAAAATTTTAATAAAAATTATTTTTTTAAGAAAACATTTTAAAAAAAATTAAAAAAAAAATTCGATAAAATTTTTTATAAAAAAAATTGATAAATTTCTCTCTCTTGATGATTAAAAACAAACATAGGTTTAATTACACACTACTACGTGACCAAATACCAAAAAAAAAAAAAAACACCCCGTCTTCCACCTGTACGTATACGTGTTAAGGATTTATTGATTTTACAAATATTAAGTATACGCCTAATTTTTTAAAATCATTTGTGATTTTGATCTGGAAGATGAAGTTTTTTTGATTTACAATTTTTGTTCTTTATGACAAGAACTACAACTTTGCCTCGAGCGTAAATCAAAATTCCGAAAACACCAAGACCCCAAATCTTTGGGGGACCCCATAAAAAAGTGCAAAACTGGGAGATAGGATTTTTTTTACATAGTAGAGATTGTAATGGTTACATTATTTCATGTTACACTGTATTAATTCTAATGGAAATTTTTTTAAAAATTTCAACTTAAAGAAAAATTTTAATAATTTTCGAATTAAAACAAGTAGGAAAGTATAGTCGGGCATGGCCGACCATATAATACCATACACCATGAGTATATTTTAAAAATTTTAATTTTTCACAAAGAAACTTTTATGTTGAATTTTACCTTAATTCCAAAGTATTTAAGCAATTTATTGATAAAAAACAAATTTTCTAAATGAGGCTTTATATAGGAGTATAGGTCAAACAAGGGCCGATCCTCATTAAATTTGAGAAAAGGATATATTGTTAAATAATAGTTAATTATGTTGAGTTTCATTGCGATACAAATGGTTACAAGTCAATTTTAGACGTTTAAGACATTTTTTGAAGGGGGGTTTGTATGGGGGCTAGGGTCAAATAAGGGCCGATCATTACGAAAATCTGCAGTGTCATTTATACTTATATAAAACTTATTTGTGCCAATTTTTAGAGAGATAATAGCATATTTGACGTAATTAGTGCATAAAAAGCCCAAATCGGGAGGTACGGTTGTATGGGGGCTAGGTGAAATAATGGACCGATTTCAACCATTTTCAATAGGCTTCGTCCTTGTGCCAAAAAACATGCTTGGTCCAAATTTCATCAAATTATCTTCAAAATTGCGGCCTGTATCTTGCGCACAAGGTTTACATGGACAGCCAGCCAGCCGGACAGACGGACGGACATGACTTAATCGACTCAAAATGTGATTCTGAGTCGATCGGTATACTTAAAGGTGGGTGTAGGACCAATATTTTTGTGTGTTACAAACATCAGCACAAACGTATAATACCCTCCCCACTATAGTGGTGTAGGGTATAAATATAACAAATTTATGTTAATAGTTTCTTTTAATGTTACATTGTAATGTTAAAAATATTTAAATAATATGGCCTTTTTTGTCTATTTTTAAAAAAAACTAACACCCAGTAAATATATATTTTTATGTGCACATCTCTCAACTCAACATTCTTTATCCATTTTAAAGTCAAGAAAGCCAGTCAAATGTAAACATTTGATTGAACTTAATGGGATTTTGATTCTAAGTGACTGCACTTCAACTCAATGGCTGTGTTTGTCAAAATACTTGACAATTAACTTGTACGACTAAAGGGTTAATATAAAAGGATGTTTGTTTTGTTTTTCTGTTTTTTTTTTTTGAATTCATTCATTTTTTGCTCTTTTATCAAATACATATAAATATGAAAAGAGAAACAAGAAAATAAAATTTTCACATGTTTGAATTAAAGTAAAAAAAAAAATAAATTTAATGTTTATAAACATGTAAATAATATTGAAAAATATTTGTCTAAAACAATAAACATTTTCTTTTGAAATAGAGTCAATGTGTCTGAAGTTACTTTTAGTCTTACACAGATTGTAATTGAACTAGAAAAAATTTAAAATATTAAAAAAATTATTTTCAGAAAGACACAATTTAAAAAGACATGTTGAATTTTTAAATTCTTGTGTTATAAAAGTTTTGAGTTTAAAATCTTTAGTTTTATGTATAAAATATATTGATTGCTTGTTATTGGTAACTATTCATCCTTAAGATAGTTAGTATGTGTTAATATCTATGTAATAGATAATGCCCAGCATTAAAAGTATATCTGTATCTAATGTATGTGGCATGTGCAGAGTTAGTGCGTTCAATTACCTTCCAAATTTATTAAGTGTAAAAATTCATTTATCAAATTGTTTAGCCCACATGAAAACAAACTCTGTTTCTTATTCTGTTTCATCTTTTCAATTGTTTTTATTTCGAATTTGTTGGAGAATGTGTATTTTATCAGCACTTGCCCAGCATTTATGAAATTGAAAGTAACCAGATATTTCTTGGCACTTTATATAGAGTGACCAGTACAGTCTGGGTGTCGATAGATTGCACAAATATTTATTTGGAAATTTATAGAAATTTGTGAATAATTTTTTTTTAAATTTTCTTTAAAATTTTCTTACAAATTTTCTGTAAATAGAACATTTGTGTAAAAGGAGAAAGAACAATTTATTAAGAGTTTTCTTTTGTATAAAATTGTTGGAAATTTCCTCAACAATTTTTTAACAAAAATTTATTGAAAATATTCTATAAATAAAGCATTTGTGGAATAATTTCTCTAAAAAGAAAATTTATTAAAAATTTCTCTATAAAAAAAATTTCTTTGGAGGAAAACTTTGTATAGTTGGTGGGTTAACGTCAAGTAGAGTCGAGGAGACTCCGTTTTGACCGGACCACTCCACTCCTCAGATGTAATATTGTACAGTATTAGATCCAGCATGTAGCCGTCAGAAATCTCAGGATATCATTAAGCTTAGACCCAGATATCTCACCAAGGTTAGATATGAAGTAACTGCCAAGAAAATAACTTTTCTTAACGGTTAGAGTAGGGTATTCACAGTGAGGATGGAAGACAGTTTTTTCCTTTTCCCTGCCTTTGCACTTCCAACAGTGTTCAAGTGTTTGAAGGTAAGACCAAGCCGATTTGTGTCTGCCTAGCACCCAGTGTTCCGTTATTACTGCTACTTTGGTTTATAAGGTGTCTTGAGCTTTTCTCATTGAGAGAGCCACAATAACTTGGCTTTACATATATCTAGGTTAATCTACCTATTTTAAGCCTTTTGAAGAAAGAATCTGAGAATACTGTTCTTGATGAAACCAAACAGAGTTGATACTGAAACGGCCTTGGATATATAAAGAGCAGATCCTGTTCTAGCAAGCTCATCCGCCTGTTCATTTCCATAAGAGTCCCTATGCGCAAGGACCCAAACAAGGGTAATGTCAGACGACCCAGCCTTGACAGATCCTTCTTGCATTGTCTAACTAATAGGAAAGTGGTAGTATAAGAGTTTAGTGAGAGAAGTGCCGCTTGACTATCAACGAAAATTCCTACTTTGCCGCGAATAATGAGGGCAAGACGGTGAGATATACTTACCCCAGCTTCCTCACGAGAAGACACAAGAACCAACACCGCAGTTCATTTTCCTACTTCCATCCTTTGTATAAAAAATATTGAATTTTTTTCTGTAAATAGAAAATTCTCAAAAATTTTCATTCATTTCGATATATTCATTATTCGGGAAAAATTCTTGGAATAGAGAACATATTTCCAACAAATTTCTAAATAAAATTGATCAACATTACCTATTCAAAACTCTGGTCACCTTAAATTACAGATAGCACTTAAAATCTAAAAATGTCATGAATCATTAACATACATTTAGGCTCAAACAAAAAATGAAAACCATATCCATTCATCTCTGACAAGAAAAAAAAACTCTTATATATATTGAGCTTTTAATCAAAATGTCGTTTTTTTAACACTCTCTTTTGTACACTTTCTCTTTTTCTTGTCCAGTCTCTTACATTGAATTTTTAAAATGAAGTGTACAAAAATGTAAAAAATAATTGAATTGAAACTTTAGTTGATAACAAAAAAAAAAAAAAAAAAGGTTGTCAAAGATATAAAAAGTCAAAAAAAGAAAAATCAATAAAAGGCTTGATATGCTAAACAATCTTATATAAAAATTCCATTTGCTCTAAGAGGACTTCAGAAAAAAATGAATAGAAAAAAATTATTTAACACCCCAAATAAATAAAAAATACAGCGTATTGTAAGTTTTAACAGTGTTGCCAACATTGGTCAAGCAAAACGCGCGCAAAAAATATTAAAAAGGGGTAAAAAAGCGTAATTTTCTAACTGAAAATGGGTAAAAAAGCACTAACGTTTTTTTTAGTCAAATATTGTTTATTTTAATAAAAATTGCACATTATTTCGCTCATTTCCTACAAGACTCCAAAATTCGTTTTTTAGAACATTGGGCAAAACAAAACATGTGTCATACTAAAGTCTTTCATCTGTGTGAGTTAGATTTTTAGTAACGTAAGAACTAAAACTAATGTTTGACGAATATTAGATAAATAAGATGAGAATTTTAAAAGTTATTTTAAAAATAGTAAAATGTCATTAAACATTCAAACTGACCCAAATTGTAAAATTGTACAAAACTTATGAAATATATTTTTTTTGCAAAATCTATATATATTATTTTTAAGTTTTTTGAGTTCTGGAAAAATTGTTAATTTCACTGATAGTGAATAACATAACTTATTGTAAAGTATTTTGAATATTTTGTTTTTTTGTTTTTGAAGAATATTTGCTTTTAAAACTTAACACAAATAAAAAAAAAACTTTGGAGCACCCGTGTAAAAAAATTTAAAACAGTTTTTAAGAAAAATTTAGTCCTTAGTGTAAACTGATCGTATTCTAATAAACAACAAAAAGTGGTACAAATAGAAAGATCAAAGAATGATCCCTCAGTTTTCTTAACATTATAGAGAAAATGTTTAATATTAATTAAATAAATTACCTCCTGAAATTCACAAATATTTTAAAATATTTTAACAAGAGTGTTATATTCGGCT